GTTTCCCAGGACAACTCATCATCAATACACAGAACTACTGCCTCTTGTTCCTTGGGTTCTTCTTTGGGGAATCTAAAGGGAAGCTGGGGAAGGGGAGCAGGGGGAGCAGGGATGCTGGATGGATAAATCATTATTATTATGACCGCACACCTGGCAGTGTTCATTTGCTGGGTTTGAATACACAGTTGTCACTTGTCACATTCAGCCCTGCTACCTTCAGACCGAAAATGCTGGATTTGAGAGGGCCTGAGATTATATACATTTTTTCTATAGCAATATATTGAGCTCCAATTGTCTCAAGCACTGATCAGGTACAGAGTAAAGAAATGGGATGAGAGCTGACTCTGAGCACCTGTTATGTGCCTTAGGGCTTTGCCTTAGGCTCTGCATACCCATGCACTGGTCCCCCCACCAGCCCTCCAGGCTTTGGCCATCCTCTTGTTACACATGGGGAAACTGAGGCCGGGTGGGTAGGGAGAAGAGAAAGGCCCGTTGAAGGGGAAAGATCGATCAATGGTCAGTCCCCATTCCAGGGAAAGAGGTTCAACTCACCGTGCCTGCAGGGAGGAAGGGGCTGGCGTTGCCTGTCCAGCCCTCTTTGGGGAGTCCCAACCCAAGCAACTTGGGCTCTTGAACAAACCCATCCTGGTCTTTCTCCCTCAGCACTTGCTCAAGTCCCAAAAGAAACTCATAGTTAGTCTGATGGCAGATGGGCTTACATGCCTTCAAGTACGGTGAGGGGGCTGGACCTTCAGGACTGAACTAAAAACCCTTCCGGCCAAAAGAGAGGGCCTTCCTCCTGGCCTTGGCCACAATTCTCCATTGCTCACTCCTTAGAATCAAGGTCAGGGCCTCTGTCAAAAAGGAACATGCTGGCTGGAATAAAGGGGCATATTAGCCCACCACCTGTCACTAGAACCACATTGTAAAGGAAGCCCAGGACAGTGGTCCCCAAACCTGGGTGTGCAGAAGAATCACTTGAGGGAGCGTTAAAAATGCCAGTTCTTCTGTTTCCATCCTGGAGCCTGTGTTTTTCTTTCACCAGATCTGAATTTTGATTCAGATGTTCCTAGTACAACTCTTTCAAGGAAATAATGATATAGTGGAAAGAATACCAGATTTAGAGAGCTGGGTTTAAGATTTCAGCTCCAAACCTGAGCTGCTGACCTCAGGCAAGTAAGCCTGAACTTTCCTCCTATACAATGCAAATGCTAGTGTCTCTCTTACAGGTGGCTGGGAGGGTTAAAAGAAAAACAAGTGAAAGCCCCAAGTGTAGCACACACCGGTGCTCACTAAACATGGCCCAAATGAGACTTACAAGCCAGCAAGGCCGTGGGCACAGAACTAGGTTTTGATGGGAAGGAGGAAGAGCGGGCAAAGCAGGCCTAGGTAATGAAGGGGTATCCCAGCCTCAGCACTCCCGTCCTGCGGAGGAGTAAAATTGGGGGACCCCGAGGCAGCAAGCTGGCCTAAAGCCAGAGTTTCCCCTAAATCTCCTCCTCCTCTGCGTCAGCCTGCATTATGTGCTGGCTCCCAACATAACATTTTTTTTTTTTTTTTTNCAAGCTGGGGAACAGTCATAGAGGAACTAGCTTCTGTCAGGTGAGATGCTTTGCATATAGTACTTAATATTTTTTGAAGCAATAAATTTGTTTCATGGTACCACTTTTGTAATTTATTTTTTGAGATGGAGTTTCGCTCTTGTTGCCCAGGCTGGAGTGCAATGGCACGATCTCAGCTCACCACAACCTCCACCTCCCAGGTTCAAGTGATTCTCCTGCCTCAGCCTCCTGAGTAGCTGGGATTACAGGCATGTGTCACCACACCTGACTAATTTTGTATTTTTCAGTAGAGACAGGGTTTCTCCATGTTGGTCAGGCTGGTCTTGAACTCCCAACCTCAGGCGATCTGCCCGCCTCGGCCTCCCAAAGTGCTGGGATTACAGGCGTGGGCCACCGCACCCAGCCCCCAGCATAACATTTTTAATCCATTTTCACAGTGAGTTTATTCAACAAATACACACGAAACCTTTACATCTGCACGTATGTAAACATCACAATTCTGCATACACACGCAAAGAAAGAGAAAAGGTGGGAAAACCAGAAAGAAGAGGCGAGAGAAGGGGAAAGAGAGATGGGAGGTCAAGCCCAGGCAAGGATTCGGGTGCTTTCAAGTTTGTTGAGGCCATTAACATATGGACAGTGTGTCCCATGACTTGGGAGAGGCCCCAGGAGGCTGCTAGAGGGAAGCCTCAGAGTGACTGGGGAGGCGAGGCTCATCCAGGCTGAACATAGAGCTAGAGCAAAGAATGCAGGGAAGAGACACAGGAATGTGTGCAAGAGAGGCTGGGCGGGATACACTGCCTGGCAAAACTTAGATCAGAAGAGAAGAAATCTGAATTTCTGAGCTGGGGATGGGAGGTGTGGGGAGGGCAGATAAGACCATGATAAAGAAACTGGGTGAGTGGAAGGATGGGTTTTAAGCAGGAAGGCATTGAGCTGGCTCTTGGGTCAATAAAGCAGCCTGGGCTTAGGAAACATGTTAAATCCCCTGATGAAAATTAACCCTGATTCAACCGCGCCCATACAGCACTTTCCTGTCTCCCAGTCTTTCCTCAAGCTCTTTCCTCTGCTTGGCATGTCCTCCCTCCCCACGAGCCTTTCCCATCACCTCGAACTCCTCCTTAGGCTTCAAAGCCCAGTGGTAACTGTCCCAGCTCCTCCCATGCAGAATCAATTTCTCCCTCATCCACATCTCCTTGATGTTTAGCACATCCCCCTTGTATTGTGGTTATTTCTACACTTCCCTTTCTCCCCTGGGAGGTTATTTATCATCTGCTAGCATGTGGACTCCCTGAAGGCAATGATACTGTCTTGTTCACAGCATAAGCCCCGGCACATAGAAACAGTCTTTGGCACGGAGTACAAGCTCAGAAATATCTGTTGGAGAAAAATTAAATAGAAGTGAATACTGGGGAGCCGTTGTGATTTCTTGAGAGAAATGATGTGGTGAAATCAGAATTTTAGAAATATTAATCTGTCAGCATGAAAGAAGACGGATTAAAATGAAGAAAGCAACTCGTGGCTGGGAGTCAAGAGGGGAGATTATTACTGTAATTTGGACGTGGTTGAAGGTGGGGGCAGTGGGAATGGAGACAGGGAAATAATTTCTCAGATATAAAAGAATGTGGAAGGGATTTTGTGATGAATGAGCTATAAATGTGGGGTACAGAACGGGAGTGTTGGGGGCATTTGAACATTGAGACTCCCAGCAATTAGGATAAAAGTGGCACCAGGAGGGAAATGTGGGGGATGGAGAAGAAGGCAATACACAGCCTCTGTCTAGGATAGCTGATTGCAATCACAAGTTTTTCCAGGCAAAAACAAAAACAAACTCCAAATCTAAAATCTCCCCAACCCTAACTTACTCCCAAACTCTGGGCTGTATTTGTCTTTCCCTAACAGCCAGTGAGAAGCATTTCTTCATGGCATAAGAGACTGAAAAGAAAGCAATGCCAGCCTGCTGCCCTGCCCAGTGCTGGGCACGGAGGAGATCACATGAGTTCAACTGGCCAGCTACCCACAAGAGACCAACCCGTTTGCTTATTCAGAAGGGGCTCCAGTATCCTGATCACCCAAGCTCACTTCCCAGGCCCGGACCTCTGGGAAATCCCTCTTCCAGCCCTGCAGAGATTTGTAGGAAAGTCCCAGGATGCCCATCTGCTTCCTCGCATTAATTTCAGGGCTAGGATTTTGTTTTCTAAAGGAATTCAGCTATGATGCCAACAAAAATCTATAGGAATTGAGGAGTTCTGTATTTAAGTCACATTTTTAAAATGTTTGCTTCTTTGTATATGAGACCCAGCAAGACCCTAGTAAGCCCAGTTACTGCATAACCTCCAACAATATCAATCAAGTAGAAGACATGCAGATTTTAAAAGCTGTGTGATCCTGGGAAAATCTTTAGACTGTTCTGGGTCTTGGGTGCCTCCAGCTGTGAAAGGAGGGTTGGATGAGACAATTCCTCAGATCTCTCTCGGGTCTCTATTTCTCTTATTCCAAATTCCAACAGGCATCCAATGATTGCTACCCACGTCGACTTTAGACTCACCGCCCGAAAAGGGCGAAGGGCAGCGTGGTGGGGGTCGAAAAGAAGACAGGAAGAGAAGCAAGCATGCACTTTTAACAGAAGGCAAAGGGGACTGGGAGGCACGGCGCCGGGTGTGAATTGCTTAAAAAACTCTTTAGACCACAAATTCCAGATACTTAGGTGGGCCCGAGAACGCCCTGAAATCCCCTTCCCAGGTCAGGGCTGATGTGATTTCAGAGAAAAAGCAAGCTTAACTTCCAGATCTGTAGAGCTCCAAGGTGAGCTCGCCCTGCAGAAGCTGCTTCCGTACGTGCGCCAAGGGGCCGCAGGTACCGGGGCTGCACTTGAGGAAGCGTCCGGGGTTGGCGGAAACAACCCATCCGCTCGGGCTCCAGGGCTCGCCGGGTGGCAGCGGCTAAGCTGAGACACACAGACCCGAGGCCTCGGGCCGGGCGCGGGGAGCGCTGGCGGAGACTCGCCCGGCTCTGGCGCCCCAGGCGGGAGGGAGGCGAGGCTGCGGTGGGGGGCGCACGGGCTGGGTGTGCACTCCGGCTCCCCCTCCGACCCGCCCCAGGGAGCGCGGGGCCCCGACCCGGGGACGGCCAAGGCGGACGGTCCCTGGAGTTTGAGAGTCGGGGGTGGAGGGGTGAGCGCCGGCGCCAGCGCAGAGCGAGACTCCGGTCAGCACGAGAACCCGAGAAGGAGGCGCAGCCGTCGGCACGGACCGGGCGCGCGCTGGCTCCCCGAGCCCGGAGCGGCGCCGCCCGCGGCGTCCCGGACACACCCACCGGGTCGCCCGCGCCAGCCCGCCCCGCCGGCCAGCGAGCGGGGGCCGGAGCCCGAGCGGCGGCAGCTGGGTTGGGGCCGCGAAGGCGGCGCGCAGGGGGCGCGGGGCGCGCGGCTCTGCTCACCTGGCGGTCCGCGTCCCGGAGCGGCCCCTCGCCTCGCCTCGCCCCCGCGTGGTTCCCGAGCGCCGCCGCATGGACGGCCGCCGCCGCCGCCCCGCGCCCGCCTTGCACGGGCTCCCGCTGCGCCCCGAGTCCGCGTCGGGCTGCGCGGGCGGCCGGCGGCTGAGGCGCGCGCGGAGAGCTCTGGCTCCGAGTTTGCGATCCGAGAGCGGGATCCGCGCTCCCCGCGTCCCTCCTCCCTCCCGCCTCGCGGCCTCCCGCTGTCATCTGGGGCCGCTCCTGCCGCCCCCTGGCGGCCGCCGCGGGAAGGGCGGCCCCCATCCGCCCCCGCGATCCCCTTGGTCGGCAATGGCAGGACGGTCCCTGGGTCCCGGGGGGAAGAGACATCACCCAGTAGGAGGGGGCACGGTCTAGACTGAGCCCCGGGGGCGGGAGGGGGCGAAAGCGGAAAGCAGAGTGCCTCAGGTGGCCAGGGCCGTCTAAGTGAGACGAAAAGGGAGAGGGCGGTTGAGACCAGGCCCTGAATTCCGCCTTCTTCTTATCCTGAGGTCTGTGGGGACCCGTCGAAGGACGGGGGCACAGGGCGGGCGTGGCACGGACGGGGGCACAGCAGTTCCCGCAGCATCAGGATGGGGTGGAGGCAAAGCGGGGAGCCGGCGAGGCAAGTCGTAGCTGTCAACTCCAGCGAGAAGAGGGCGGCGACCTCTCCAAGGCCGGGAAGGAGCCCTGGTCACACACACACACTCCCACGCGAGGCAGGACGCGCTGGGCTCCTCCTGAGGCCAAGGGAAAAGGACAATTTGGAGGGCTCCTCCAAATTCCAACTGGGGTTAGACGCATGGGGAGGAGACACACACGCCCTGACAGCCAGAGCCATGCGGTCTTCTTTCTTGTCTTATTCAGGGTACTATTTTGTTGAGGGGGAAAAAAGTCATCATCATGAATAATAATAAAAATCAATTTTTGATCCCTTCGTTTTACTAATTGGGAAATTATTGCCCACAAAAGGGCACGACCAAAGAGCCGCGGCTAGTTAATGGCAGGAAAATGACTAGGGCCCAGTGTTTTGACTCCTAATTCAGAGCTAAATTCTTTACATTCGAGCCAAGGTGTTCAGAGCTGGGAAGGCAGGAAATAGAGTGACTGACGAACTGTCCCTTCTTTCCTCCAGAGCGGGGGGGGGTGGGGGTGACAAACATTTGAAGAGGCTGTCCTGATACAGGCGTTTCCCTAAATTTGAGTCAGCCTGTTTATCACCGCCTCTAAAGCTTGCCTGCAGGGGCTGTTTTGAAAGTGCAAGTGTTCGTGGAGGTCAATGAAGGAGATGGCAGAACGCAAGCTCCTTGCCCCACAGCCAGGCGGCACGAGGGCTGGGTGCGGTGCGCTTCGTGGGAGCAGCAGGGAGCTCCCAAGGAAGACTGTCCTCTAGACAAAAAAATAATTAACAAAAGGGAAAGCAGCAACCCAAGAGATTAGGCAAAAGAAACACCACTTTGCCTACTACTGGCCCCGAGCCTAGCAGAGCCAGTTCTGACTGATTCAAGAGCTGGTTCCAATGGAATGAAATAATTCCACACTTGATCAAACAGATTGTGATGGAAGGCACCTGGTGTAAATGGGATTAGATTAATTCTGAGTGTCACGAGTCCCATGGGTCCAAATTAAGTCGATCTAACAGCTCTGGTAAATACTGGCCAGTTTAAACCATTTAGAACGGGTTAAAAAAAAAAGCCTGCACAACTTTAGAATGTGCTTAATGTCACTGATTGTACACTTAAAAATGGCTAAAATGGAAATTTTTATGTTATGTACATTTCACCATACTTTTTTTAAAAGAAGGCAAAACTAATAAGACTTGTTCAAACAGGATTGAATTAAATTATTTGGTGCTGAGTGTGGCCTTGGTGCTAGGATTCAAAGATGAAAGGAAGGAAACTTTCCATTCTAAAAGAAACTCCATGTAAGGTGAAGAGGATGAAATATAGTCAGAAACCATACCAGTAGGTGGTAGGTATATGCAGAAGTATTTAGGAGCTCATGTAGTTGTGCCTGCCTCAAGACAGGAAATCTGGGATGTTCTGCTCAGCAGAATCTTAAAGAATGGGGTGAGTTCATCAAATAAAGTCTGGGGTGAACAGCGCTCAGGAGCAAAGGATGTGGTTTTGTTTGGTTTTTATTTTTTAATTTCAAAATCATTTTAAACGAGTTTCACAAATAGTACAAAGAGTTCCCTTATATTCCCCCACCCTCTTCCTCTAGTACTAACATCCTACGTAATCAAAGTATGATTATTAGTGAGCAAACTTGATTCAACAGACCTAGGCTGGCTCCTCAGAAGCGATTCCAGTCCATTCCAACCTTGGTCAAATTGTTTTGACCATATTTTGCTGATATGTCACAGGAAAGTCTTTAAAGTCAAGACAATACTTGTTTTATTTACTTATTGATTTATTTAGAGGCAGGGTCTCGCTCTGTCACCCAGGCCGGAGTACAGCGGCATCATTGCAGCCTCCACCTTCTGGGCTCAAGCAGTCCTCTCACTGCAGCCTCCCAAGGAGCTGAGAGTACAGGCATGCGCCACCACACTTGGCTAATTGTTTATTTATTTATTTATTTATTTTATTTTATTTTATTTTTAGTAGAAAGGAGGTCCTGCTATGTTGCCCAGGCTGGTCTCAAACTCCTGAGCTCAAGTGATCCTTCTTGGCCTCCCAAAGTGCTGGGATTACAGGCGTGAGCCACAGAGCCCAGCCTATGCTCATTTTAAACAAAGAGATATTTACATTATGTGTAAGCATCAGTGAATATTAAGTATGCTGAGGCAGCAAGTTTTGATCTTTCAGTTCTATTATATATATATATTTGTACTTTTAATCCAAATGTGTCTGTTACATATGAATCAGAGGAGCAGGATTTGATCTTTGCGTATAAAATAGCTTAGTAACCCTCACTGGAAGAGACAGCCAGGAAGAATAGGTGCTTCAGATCACAGTCAGAGGCTGACCTGTGGTTACCTAGGCTGGGGGCCTGCCTGGCATGTCAGTGTCATCTGTACACAGCATCTTGGAGGGTGGGTCACCCCTTTGCATATCTGAAGTGATGAACTGCTCACTACCTCATAAGATAGCCCACATTGTTGGCTGGGTGCATTCGCTCGATCCGTACTTTGGAAGGCCGAGGTGGGTGGATCACAAGGTCAGGAGATCGAGACCATCCTGGCTAATATGGTGAAACCCAGCCTCTACTAAAAATACCAAAAATTAGCCTGGCGTGGTGGCACACACCTGGAGTCCCAGCTACTTGGGAGGCTGAGACAGGAGAATCGCTTGAACCTGGTAGACAGAGGTTGCAGTGAGCCAAGATAGCGCCACTGTACTCCAGCCTAGGCGACAGAGCAAGACTCCATCACAAAAAAAAATATATATATATAGCCCACATTGTTTTTAGAGGCTCCTTGTTAGAAAGTCTGTTTTAATTTTGACCTGAAACCTTTTGCCCTGTGATTATTATCCATTGGCCTTAAAGGCAGCTCCTAAAGGGACAGAGAAGAAACATAACCCCTCTGTCATGTGTCAGCTCTGTCTAGTAAGACAGCTCTAGCTCACACCTGTGGTCCCATTATTATTATGAATTATTAATAGTGCCCCCCTTCATTCTCTTGTCCTAGATAAGATGAAAAATGATACATACTACACCCTATAGAAAACTGTCATAACCCCAGTCATTGACCAGTCCCTGCCTAGAACCACACCCACAGAGCGTTCAGCCATTTCTCCTGTGGTTCTCAGCCTGCAGCACAGCGTCTGCAGGTGGTGAGGGCTCCCAAATGTCTGAGGAATGAATGGCTCACTGTTGAGAGCAACTTCCTGGGACTTCAGAGCATATGGAACTGGAATAAGAGCAAAGTGTGAAGACATTACAGGAAGGCAATGCCGGACAGTCAGATGGACCCTTTGGGGTAAACTTTTGGAGAACACAGTTTCCTCACTTACAAGCACTGAGATTGCCTGAGAGGGGAGTTTGTTTGCCTGTGTTCCAGAGAGTTGTGTCCCAGCAGGGAAGGAAGCCACTCTGCTAGCATTTGGAGTAGCATTCCTTACTCTGCCAGCATTTGGAGGTGGGATGAAAATGGACCTGCATTCAATGCCCTAATTTCAGGCTCCAGAGAAGGTACCAGGATCCATCACGAAGCTTGTAAAACCGTGCCTTTCATTTTCCTGGTTGTAAACCTCTGTGGACTGTAAAGTCAAGGCAAGCCTGTGCCCAGCACATAATAAGAAAATAAAGGAAGCATGGTAAACAAAACAGAACACTTTGAGAGCTGGTCAGCCTGCTGTTATTTTGAACTGTTTCTAAGAATCTCAGGGCAAATGCCCTCCCCTGCTGGCCTCCTTAACCCAGTCCTTTTTCTTCCCTCCTTCAGGGACTCTGGGATGCTGACCTACAGTCCGAGTTCCCGTGCCCCTGCCTGGGACTGACTCTCTACTTGACCTGTAACCCACAACTGGGCAAGAGAAAATCCTGCAGCCACAGCTCTGAGGACATGAGCAAAATGGTTTCCAGACAGAATGTCAAGGATTCCCAGGAAGTGTCAGGGAGTCTTCAGGCCACACTTGAGGTTATCTCATGCTCTTTCCCTTTTCTGCTTCACTCTCATCCTCTTTCTCACCCTGCATCTGGTCAGCGGAGATAGGAAGGTACTTGTTACCTGGTACAGGACAACTTTTGGAATCCCAGATATTCAGATTATTTCCCCTTTTCCTCTTTGTAAATGATAACACTCACAGCCAAGAGGCACAACCCAGATCGGAGGCTGCTTCTCCTTAGGACTTGCAGAGAGAAGGAGAAGGCGGGCCTGGCAGCCTCCAGCCCACAGGCTCCCTTTCTCCTCCTGGAGATGATTAACCAGGCGAGAACAATGGAGATCTGCAGCATGTGCTGGTGTGCGAGTGCCTCCTCTCTGCCAGCAGGACTGATCAGACGCTCCCCATCTGTCCTATATTTACTGAGGCCAACTATGAATGACTAA